CGCGTCGAGCCAATTTTCAACTATCTGTCGGAAGCCATCTATGACGAAAAACGAAAAATCCGGGCCTAGAGAGGGGCCCGGGCCTCCAGCCCCTCGCTTGGCTGCGTCACTGACCATATCTGGAGACTCTTCCCTCGATGAGCATGCGCCGGAAGTCGGGTGCCAGATGTGTCTACCGGAGGTCGGATGCCAGATGTGTCTACCGGAAGTCGGGTGCCAGATGCATCTACCGGAGGTCGGGTGCCAGATGTGTCTACCGGAGGTCGGGTGCCAGATGTGTCTACGGGAGGTCGGGTGCCAGATGTGCCTGCCGGAGGTCGGGTGCCAGATGCGTTTACCGGAGGTCGGGTGCCAGATGTGTCTACGGGAGGTCGGGTGCCAGATGTGTCTACCGGAGGTCGGATGCCAGATGTGTCTACGGGAGGTCGGGTGCCAGATGCGTCCGCCGGAGGGCGGTTTCCAGATGCGTCTACGGGAGATCGGATGCCAGATGTGTCTACGGGAGGTCGGGTGCCAGATGCGTCCGCCGGAGGGCGGTTTCCAGATGCGTCTACCGTAGGTCGGGTGCCAGACGCATCCCCTTTATGAACGTTTTCTACACAACACGTGTTAGAGTAGCCGGAGTAGACTTCTCGAGACCGCTCGAGATCTGTCTCGAGAGAAACTAGATTTGATGCTGATGATCCCTTCTAATCGCCACATTTTTTTGGCATAATGCCGATAAAAATTACCTGCTGGTAATTCCAATCATGACCTTGCAGGAGGGAGACGGAATTTCCTCACAGTTAAGGGCGAGGCAGAGCCCAATGAGAATATATGATGCCGATTTTTAACTTCCTGTCAGCAGCTTTTCATGATGAAAAGGGAGCAAATGTGGTTCAAAGCGAAACCCCTTGACCGCGCGTGTGTGCCTTTGGGCTCACCTGAAGTGTGGTTGGCAGAGCATACTATTACCTATGGTAATAGTGATTGGTATCCAGCATACCTATGACAATATTCAAGGGTAGAAATGACGTCAGAAGAAAAGAACATTGATGATTTGCACAGCAGGCGACGGAAGCCATTCAGCGAGAAGTCCTTTTTGGAAGCTTGAACACGTGCGTCGCTGCACGACGTACTATGTCGCTGGTAACATGCTCGCTTTATAACACGACCTTGCGGCGAACTGGACGTCCAAGTGGACAATGTTTCCAGAGCCAAAGTGCTCTTCGGAAAGTCACTGCTCTAAACACCACAAGGGAGGAATAAAAGCCATAGAATGACGCCAGGGCCTCGCCAACCGAAACCTTCTGTCAAAAAGGCTTTGCTAGAAGGCTTTGATTGTGGGATGGGGTCGTAAAGTATCTATATAAGCCATGTGATGATGTTTATTGTTGCATATGGTTCCCCTAATATGCGTATTTCAAGCTCTCATCTTTGCGCTCATGCCGTTTAATGCAAAAAGCATTTGAGAAAAGCAGTGTTTTGCAAACATTACATACAACTCACGTTGGTAAAAACAGATAAAACGGAAAGTGTTGCTTCCATAGTGATGAGCCGGGAGTTTATCAGCGGCTCATCAGGGCGGCTAATTCAGCTATAAATGCTGAGCTGTGCAGGGGGACTTCGAGAAAACCGGTACCGTGGGCAAAATCCGGACCGTTTCATGTGTCCATCAGTAAACGGTTCAACAGGTACAAGGCGCCTTTTACTTACGTTATCTCATTTGTCATTGATCTTGCCCACGGACGTTTTCCGTGCAACATTGCATGACGAACTTCACCCGCGCCGATGGGCTCAACATGACCTTGTGGTCTCAAAAATGACGAGGAAGCCGAATGAGGCCATTGAACGGAAATCTTTAAAACAACAACACTGAACTGCTGCTCAGACGCTGCGATTCATCTAATCTTGTTAAAACGCCATTGAAGATGTGGCGAGAAACTAATGATTGTATGGAAGTGATGTGCGTCTTACGTCGATGATATCAATGGAATTCCGGATCCGCCATTTCGCTAGGCGGATCGGCTTGTTAGGCGACTTTAGATTTCTTATCAAATCACCGCACTGGCAGTCACGAACACTTCTCTAACCCAGGGAATCTGTCAGACCACACCTGTGGCTGGCATCGGTTACTAACCCTATAACCATGTTTTGGCTCTAACATATTACCTCAATCGACGGTCATTGATTATATTAGAGACCTCCATGGAGCCGGCTGCTTGTCATGCTATCAAGCTGGTGGCGCTTAAGCCTCATAGCTTAAGACTTGACAGACTTGACCAGACTTGTAATTATTTGGTGTCGGCGTGACTAGACTCGTGACGAAATAATCGGGATCGATACGCTTGGATGCTCAATTGCGTATCGTAAGGCCTTTTTCCACAACGCCTACCTTCACGAGGCTTATGAGGGCCTACAGATGGCCTACGTTCCGAAGGCCTGTAATCAAGAGACCTACGTTCAGAAGGCTAACTTTCCTGAGATCGACGTTCAGAAGGCCTGTTTGCACAGCACTTGTGTTAAGAAGGCCCGCTCCCAGAAACCATGTGTCTAATAAGCTTGCTCACATGAGACTTGTGTTCAGAACGCCTCCTGTACAAGCCTATGCTCTGAAGGCTTCCTAGGGGCGCACCGCACTCGTCCACCTAAGGGATGGGGGGGGGGGGGGGTGGGAGGGGCGGGTGCGACGCACCCCATTTAATCCTCTCAGGCTTCTGAAACTACGCCCATGCCCTTACATGGTAGTACATGCCTTGAAAAACCTCGGCTTCTGCCATCTTCTGACCTCGTAGCCTTTGCGCAGATGGTCTCCTCTAATCAGAGGGGTCAAGAAAGCAGGCTTCTTGAGCACAAGCCCAGTGAAAGCATTTCCTCTGTGTGTAAACACAGTGTATCTGGACGTAGGCCTTTATACCACATGCCTGGCAGCAAGAGACTTGAACAATCTTCTGACCATACTTTTGGGTATAGTTTTTTGGGCTTTTTAGGTTTTCTGATTGTAGGCTTTCTGAATGAATACTTCGTGAAAATAGACCCTGTGGAGAAAGGCCTCATGAATGCATGTCTTTGACCCAAGGACCTTTCCAAAAATGGATCCCTCAATGTAAGCCTTCTGAAGAGGTCTTTTGAAGACGTTCCTGAAAAACAAGCCCTTTCAAACTGGACCTGTTGAAAAGGGTCTCTTAAGAATATAATTTAAGGAAGTTGGCGTTCTGTAAGTATACCTTCAAAACATAGGCTGTCTGGAGAAAAGCCTTCCGGAAATAGGTTTTCTGAACATCAACCTTCTATATAAGGGCCTTCTGAAAGTAGGGCTGCGCGCTCGCAGTGCCCGCGGCTGGGCTCAGTGGCAAGCCGTGAGACCGCGCCGCTACAACGGCCTGGCTGCAATAGCAATCACAATGGTGGGGAGGGCCGATGGCGCTGCTGCGGTCTTCATGGACGCGTGAAGCTGCTGAAGCCATTAGAGTCACCGTGCCAGATCGCTTCTGGCTGCTGGCCGAGCGGGTGGTGTGAGCAGACGGCGCCGACGGCGTGAGTGAGCGGCGCCAGCAGCGTGAGCGGGCGGCCGCCAGCGGCGTGAGCGGGCGGCGCCGGCGGTGTGAGCGGGCGGCGCCGGCGGTGTGAGCTGGCGGCGCCGGCGGTGTGAGCGGGCGGCGCCAGCGGCGTGAGCGGGCGGCGCCGGCGGTGTGAGCGGGCGGCGCCGGCGGTGTGAGCGGGCGGCGCCGGCAGCATGAGCGGGCGGCGCCGGCGGTGTGAGCGGGCGGCGCCGGCAGCATGAGCGGACAGCGCCGGTGGCCCGGCCCGCTCGCGGCCCGCTGCAGCGGCACCGCGCTCAGGCCGACAGACAGTTACGCCCGCAGCTGTGGGCACGCAGACCCCAGCCCTCCAATTTAATGGTCTGCTGACGGGGACAGTCTGTTTACGATAGGTGTACAGGGAGGGGTGGGCAGGGGCGCCGGCGGTTCCGGGTGCGGGCGTGTGGGGAAGGGCGCCGCCCGCAGCGAACGATCGAAGTTCACCGGGTCCAGAGTGGCCAGAGTGGCATGCGGAGGATCGCAATAGGATTTATTCGTGGTGGTTCGTATCTTTCCAAAACTCCTTTTTCAAATAGCGAGCTCTTTTGAAGCTGGGCATGACTGCATATCTAAGTCACTCGCGATGATATATATATATATATATATATATATATATATATATATATATATATATGTGTGTGTGTGTGTGTGTATGTGTGTGTGTGTGTGTGTGTGTGTGTGTGTGTGTGTATATGTATTTCACACTCATTTAGCCCCCACCTATACGTAAGCTTGCTGAATTATGATGCCTCCAGATGAAAACAATCATGCGTCTTCTCGAGGCGACCTATCAGGAGCATAGCACCATTAAGTGGCGAGGATTCGCCAAGTGTGTGGACGGCTGCCAGTGTCGCTGTCCAGTGTCCATTGTCACCTTGTGCTGAGGACAACGTAGCTGTCTGTGGACGCCTGTCAGTGTCGCTGTCCAGCGTCCAATGTCGCCATGTGCTGAGGACGACGTAGCTGTCTGTGGACGCCTGTCAGGGTCGCTGTCCAGTGTCCATCGTCACCATGTCGGCCCGCTGTCGGCAGCCGGTGAGGACTGCCTGTGTGAGCACCGACCCGCTATCGGCAGGCGGTGAGGACTGCCTGTGTGAGCACCGACCCGCTGTCGGCAGGCGGTGAGGACTGCCTGTGTGAGCACCGACCCGCTGTCGGCAGGCGGTGAGGACTGCCTGTGTGAGCACCGACCCGCTGTCGGCAGGCGGTGAGGACTGTCTGTGTGAGCACCGACGCGCTGTCGGCAGGCGGTGAGGACTGTCTGTGTGAGCACCGACCCGCTGTCGGCAGGCGGTGAGGACTGTCTGTGTGAGCACCGACCCGCTGTCGGCAGGCGGCGAGGATTGTCTGTATGAGCACCGACCCGCCGTCGGCAGGGGTGAGGACTGTCTGTGTGAGCACCGACCCGCTGTCGGCAGGCGGTGAGGATGCGCGGCTGCAGCTGGCTTGGGACGGGCGCCGCCCTCCTGCTGGCCAGCGTCGCGACCCCTGGTGCCGGCGCCGACCTGCTGCAGCAGTTGTCGCGCGCCCACTTCGACTTCACGCTCAGCCTCTATTCGGCGCTGGCCGACGACACCGCCAGCCGACAGCAGGACTTGCTCGTCTCGCCGTACTCAGTGTTCTCACTGCTGTCGATGCTGTTCCTGGGCGTCGGCGCCGAGTCGCCATCGGCGGCGCAGCTACGCGATGTGCTGCACTTCCAGAACATCAGCTACTCCCATGTGCAGCGCGCCTTCCAGCAGGCGGCGCAGGTGATGCGACACCCCTACTACAAGGATCGCTTCCTGGAGGAGATGGCGCTGCTGCTGGCGCACGACGTGAACGTGTCAGACTTCTACTCGCGCGCGCTGGACGAGTTCTACCGGCGGACAGTGGTCGCGGTGGACTTCGGCGAGCCAGAGGTCAGGCTCGGGCTGCGCCAGTGGCTACTGAACAGCACCGAAGACCATCCAACGCCCGCTGACGCCCGGCTGCCCGAGCGACCGGTGCTGCTGATGATGTCGAAGGTCCACTTCCATGGACAGTGGATGCAGCCGTTCAACGCCTCCATGACCTTTGACAAGGGTCTTTTCTTCCACGAAGGCTCTCAAAGGTGAGGTAAGCATCATGAGCATGAGGAACAGACGCACACACATGATGGATTTTTTAGCACATGCATTTTCAGCAATGCAATGGGGCTACCGTCATCCTTTGGCCTTACACTGTCAGTTTTCAGCAATGCAGAGCCGATAAATTTTGACGGCATGAACCATTCCCAGTTGAAACGTGAAATGTCTGCTTAATTGGCAGTGGAGCACGTTTGTTGCCAGTTATTACAAAAAGCAAGTGTAGAACAGAACGTAAGCACAATTAAATATTACAGGGTTGCCATAATCGGCATAAACTTTGCTCTTCATTGCGGGCCTCAGCTGCTTGCTAGTACCCGGACTAGGTTTGGCTGTAGAAGGCGGGCTATTTAGCAGGCATAAGTGTTTCAAGCGGATTTTTCAGTGACGTATTTTAGAGAATGCAATGCTGCAACACTACAGTGCTTTGCCTCCGTCCAATCCCAACTTTAACTGAAGCCATTGCTGCGTTTCTACTCCGGCGTGCTTGCAGGCTGCATGTTTGGCACAGTGTTCGAGTTCTTTGGGCGTGATGACGGGGTGCTGCTGGCTGTGATGGTGAGCGGTTGTACCATCGCCTGTTGGCCCCACCACGACCCCACTGTAGCCGCGCGTGCTCACTCAGGTGGCTGCCAGTCACCCCGGGGCCTGATGCGATAGAGCTTGTCCAAGAGCCGTACATCCAACGCTAGAGGGAATTGCGCATTTCACTTTCGTGATCATGTTCATCAGGCCTTGTCAAGCGTTCAAACGTGTCGCCTGCTGCGTAGCCGGACATTGCAGATGAACCAATGCACTAAATGAAGTCTCCATTTCACGGTGTCTGTAACAGGTGCACAGCCGCAGCCGCGAGGAGCTGCCAGCGTGGCGACCGAGGGGTGTGACCGGACTCGTCCGCGCCAGCAGGATGGAGGTGCCCGTGATGACGGGACGGTTCCGGCTGCCGATCGGCTACAGTCACGACCTGGAGGCGCGCGTGCTGGAACTGCCGCTCCAGGAGCGTCGTCTCTCCATCTTCATCCTCCTGCCAGACGCGCTGGAAGACGGTCTGCACCGGCTCGAGACCAACCTGACCACGGATAACCTACGCGCCATGCTCTCCACGCTGAAGGTACGGGCGGCTGCTGTGGGTGGCCGGCACCTCGCGCGCCATGCTCTCCACGCTGAGGATGCGGGCGGCTGCTGTGGGTGGCCGGCGCCTCGCGCGCCATGTCCTCCACGCTGAGGGTGGAGGACATGAGGGCTGAGGGCTGAGGGTGGCCGACGCCTCGCGTGCCATGCTCCCCACGCTGAGGACACGACGGCTGTACAATGTCAGCGCCTCGCGCTGAGAGCAGGACGGCAGCAAGGGCGCCGCCGCCTTCTTCCGCTGCATGGAGAGCCTTTACAAGGGAAAGCGGCCACCTTGTACGTTACAATCCGTCGGGCATAAAGTGCCGTAATGATTACGATTTTGAGGCGCGTTACACTGTGAGCCCCCGATAATGAGCTCGCCATACGAACTTTTTGGAAGGTGGGCACTGGCAGAGATGTGGGCATCGCCGATCAGCCTCCGACGCAATGGGAAGGTCCATGTTGAAGGTGGCCCTCAATGCATTACAGTTTTGGGTTTGCCTACAAATGCTTCCAAGAAACGTCGAAGATGATAAAGTTCGTTGTACTTGCTTGTATGAAAAGCCGTTTGTAACTTCTCCAAAATAAAGGTAAGTAAAATTTTTGCGAATGAATATGAAACGCAACCAAGGCGTCCTTAATGGTTTGTTCCGCATTTGCATGCGGTTTTGAACTGACAGCCATTTTCGAGATCATTCCCTGCAGTTCAGTTATGCTCTTTTTAAGGCTTTAAATTCTCTCTTTTCTGAGCTAGGCGCACGCGAATCTGTGCAGACTTTTTCGCGCCACCTATTTGGAGGACACCCAAAGGTTCATTGCGCCAAGGAGACATCGGACGTATTCCGCATCCTCAACGGCAAAACTGTATTCAAGGTCAAGAAAAATATCACCATTGGCTCATTCGTCAAGTCAGCACGAATCGCTGCATTTCTGAACGTAAGTCAGCGTTCAGCCAGTTAAGCGGGTGAAATTCAGGTCTCGATCACGAAGCGTAGCTTTATGATACATAGTACGAGCAATTGAGCAGTCTTACTATGTAGTTATGACGGACCTGAAATTGGGCATTAGATAACGTCAAGGATAGCGCCGTAACCAAGCATGCAAATGCAAGTAAAAAAAACAACACAAAATCACGAACAAAAATACAAGGACACCATGGGAAAGGGTCAGAACCTGGGCACAGATCGATTGTCGGGCTTGTCACGCGCGCACAAATTAACAAGCTACCTTGCAGTAAGTTGAATACCAGTGAGTCAGCCCCGACACGGCCAGTCTGGTTGCGACTCTGACGTCATAAAAGCGTTCTGTGCCGTTATCAAAGAATGACGTATTGAGGCGCGTACTGAAACAGTGAAATTGTATTATATAAAGCAATCTTAAGCACTTGAAACTATGTTTATAGTTTCAAGTGAGCCTTTTCCAACTGTCATATCTCTCCGTCATATTTCTCTATCATATCTGATACTTGCTTCAATCTTTTCTAACGTGGACCAATCTCTTAAGGCCTACAATTTGAGCGCAATACTAGCATCCATATAGTTTTATAAAGTCCTATCCATACGCTTGCATTATCGCATTGTATTGCGTTCTAAGTGGCCAACGCACTCTATAATACCAACCATCGCATTGCACTGTATTAATACATTGCATTATTACAGCGGTGCATTGTAGTAATACACTACTACATGACTTTGCATTGTTCTACGTGCCGGTGCGTCCGCTCTCACTGGTGGCTATTAACGGACGCATCTGCTCCCACTGGTGGCTATTAACGCCAAAATAAGACGACGATTGGGAGGGGAAAGACGAGGGAATGCATAATGAGGGCTGACGGCTGCAAATACTAGGTGCGAGTCTAGGTACTAGGTTTGATCTGCCGTGCAATATCCCTCAGATACTGATCCTCACGTCCCTGTCCCTCTCCCCCGATGAGGGCAGGGACAGGGCAGAGGAGCTCTGAAGGACAGGACAGGCCCCCTCTCTCGGACATGACACGATCTCCTACCCCTTCTTGGCTTTCCATCTGATGAGATCAGTACCTGGTTGATACTTTCTGTCGCTTATGACGTCCTTTTAGAAATCAATGGTGTCTTCTATCCATCCCAATGGGGATCTCCTGTAGCATAACGGTTTTAAACCGGCCAACTTTTCTGTATGACTAAGCTGATTACAGTCTAAGTCGTTACCTGTTCTCGGTTTTTGTGGACCTCCTGCACTATCTTAGCTTTTAATCACTTGAAATCCTAATATCATTAAGGCCTTCTCTTAATCATGATAAGAGTTTACCGCAATACGATTACTTCCGACTGCACCCAATCCTTCAATAACTGGATCCTATCCTCTGTCACTGTATGCCGTTGCCACCCATGACCACAGCTCATGGCCGTACCGCCGCGCGCCGACCACGTTCGTCATATCCATCACGTCTTTTGAGGGGTTTCCCAGTATTTCAGTACAGACAGAAGGCTGAAGGTTCTCTCATGCTGTCTGACAGCGGGGAGAGCGACTGTCCACCCAGTCCACCCGGCAGAGCAGCCCCTGGGCGACATGCGGTCTTCACTAGCCACACACGGCCAGGCTACCAACGAACTTTGACATTGACCTGGTGGCTGCCGGGCCGGCCATGACCTGCCCCATCACACGGGGCTCCAGCTGACGGAGCGGCCGTGCCGCAGGACGAGACGGTGCACGTGAAGCTGCCACGCTTCCGGCTGGCCTGCTCTGGTCACCTGCGGCGCGTGCTGATGGCGCAGGGCCTGACGCACGTGTTCGACCCGAGGACGGCCGCCATGACCGGCATCAACGCTGACGGCCGGGTGCACCTCAGCGACCTGCTCTTCTCGTGAGACCCGCCCCGCGGACTCACGCACGCACCTGCACGCCGACAAGGCCCCGTGTCCGACAGTCGCGATCTTTTTCTAGCTCAACTAGCTTGTATGATGTATATATATATATATATATATATATATATATATATATATATATGCGTCTTTATAGATATGCTCCTAGCCTTCTTTCGGACTACTGCGCACGTAAACGTTGTTCGCAAATAATGGCGCAACTATGAAAGCTTTTCTACACCCTATATTATGGTTTTTTTTGCTATGTCACGATAAAAATGCTCTTGTTTTCACTTGAAATTGTAAAAAGTCGGCTGATGGCAGTTTAACGCTTTATTACTGCGCAATGTTAGCTTCATTTTGTGATGTGCTAGCGAATGTCGTCACGTAACATTTAACCTTTTGGATACGTCATTCAGCCATTTCGAAATGCACTTCTACGGTTGTAGGAATACTTCCCTGCCAGCACTAAAAGACATCATGGGCTTGCGATAAGTGCATGCACTTCCTAAACCGTGCGTTCGAAAAGAGCTTGTTTGTGTGACTGAGTCGACTAAGCTCAACCAAGGAGGGGCTCAAATTTGCCTGGCACGTACTGTCCCACTTCGGAGTCATTTGGGTCACTCTGTTACTACACTGTTGTGGCAAATGAACACCGGGAGCCGAGCGTATTTGATGCATATGTGATGGCGTTACACAATAATTAACTGAGCCATGCTCCGCCTGGGTCGGCAGGGCCAGTGTGGTGGTGGACGAGTCCGGCGGGGCCCCGCCGGCGCCGGGGCCCGGCCGGCCGTCTCCCACGGACGGTCGCCGGCGCGCGCTCACCGACAAGTACTTCGAGGTGGACCACCCGTTCGTGTTCCTCGTCTGGGACTACTACTCGGCCATGGTGCTGCTGATGGGCCGCGTGGTGCACCCGGAGCCCATCCTCGACTGACCGCGCGGCCCGCAGTCGAGTGCGTCCCGGTGCGGTGGGGCGACCCGTGGTGGTCTGTTGGTGTGGCGTGCGGTCGTGCTTTGACGTAGTAATGTCACCCTACCGACCCAGACAAAACAGCTACCAGCCACCCTACCGACCCAGATAAACTGCAAACAGTTACCCTACCGACCCAGACAAAACAGGTAACAGCGACCCTACCGACCCAGACAAACAGCTAACAGCCACCCTACCGACCCAGACAAAACAGCTAACATTCACCCTACCGACCCAGACAAAACAGCTAACAGCCACCCCACTGACCCAGACAAAACAGCTAAAAGCCACCCTACCGACCCAGACAAAACGGATAACAGCCACCCTACAGACCCAGACAAAATAGCTAACAGCCATCCTACCGACCCAGACAAATAGCAAACAGTCACCCTACCGACCCAGACAAAATAGCTAACAGCCACCCTACCGACCCAGACAAACAACAAACAGTCACCCTACCGACCCAGACAAAATAGCTAACAGCCACCCTACCGACCCAGACAAACAACAAACAGTCACCCCACCGACCCAGACAAAACAGCTAACAGCCACCCTACCGACCCAGACAAAACAGCTGACAGTCACCCTACCGACCCAGAAAAAAGCAGCTTACCGTTATCCAACCGACCCAACAGAAACGGCTGCAACTCATTCTACTGACCCAACCGAGACGACCTACAGCATCCCGATGACCCAGCCGCGACATTTGAGTCGTTTCACCTACCCCGCGTGTTACCGATCTGGCACGCTGCTGGAGTAAAAAGTACCAAACTATTAAGCGCATCAGACATTTTGCTGTACTTTGGTGTGACAATGACACCCTGGCAGTGTGGTGCAGTGTCATCTGACCTGGTAGAGTTGTCTTGTGGTTCCGCCGGTGCTGAGGACCGAACGGCGTGATTATTCAGGCGTCACGCCCCGCTGTTCCTACTGAGGTTACACCGCCCGGCGGTCCAGGTGGCGCCAGATGACCGCCACTAGAGGACTCTGCTGGCGTGGTGCGCGCCGGTCCACGGCGACCCGCAGGAACGAGCCGAGCTTGGTGGCACCGTACGGTTTGGAACGCCGCGCAGTGCATCTAACACGGCGGGTTCGTTATACCTGTTAATTAGTATATTGATGGCGTGGCCCAGATTATACAGCAGCTCGAGGTATGACTTTGACGGGGCCTTATGGCAAGAGCGGGCTGCTGCCGGACTCGGGCGTCCTCGGAGAGTCCTGCCCCATGAGTTTGATGGCGCCCTGTGGCAAGAGTGGGCTGCAGGGCTGCTGCCGGACTCGAGCGTCCTCGGAGAGTCCTGCCCCATGAGTTTGATGGCGCCCTGTGGCAAGAGTGGGCTGCAGGGCTGCTGCCGGACTCGGGCGTCCTCGGAGAGTCCTGCCCCATGAGTTTGATGGCGCCCTGTGGCAAGAGTGGGCTGCAGGGCTGCTGCCGGACTCGAGCGTCCCCAGAGTCCTGCCCCGAGCAGCCGGATGAAGACAGCTTCTCCCACCTATGCCAATATGACAAGCCATGAGACGTGGTCGCTTCTCGGGCCTTAGATCCTATACAAGGATTGCATACGCCGTCAAGATAATGTGTATCTTAAGTGGTTCAAGCCATTTAATTTCGTGACGTCCCGTGACCTCTTTCAGACGCTGATCATCATACAACGGTTGTATTTGTAGAGCACACTACACACAGCAAAATTGCGTAGTTCTGACAACAAACGAATGACGAATAACCTTCGTAGAGAGACTGTACTGTAGCATAAGCATTGTATCTAACATAGCGCGATAACACACATTAAGGTAGCTTCACCACATGACTAGACAGTACACACCCGCCACTGGCACGCTTACATCGAACACACGCACAGACTGTCCCCGTCTGGAAACGGTGCGTGCCGTCGCACAGCTGCGCTTTCGGCGCCGGCACATTCTCAACGAACGTCACGTCTGCACTGCTGCTGCCGACAGCCCGATGTAGTGGTCTATGCCTGCATCTCTACACACAGGGGCATTACCCGACCAGTTGGGAACAGAACGGTGGCTCGAATGCTACACCTAAAGCTGCGACTCTGAACACAAGGCACGAGCCATTACAAAGCGCTGGATAGCTTACAGCGCAGCTCTTGAAGCATGTGATTTTGGTCTACCACAAAATTGATGCGGACTAGAACTGCTATTTACAATAAGCCTACAGAGGCATGATCAGATGCATACACAACAAGCACTTTATGCAAAAGCAATTACAAAATAAACCAAACTCGTTTCTGGCACGCAGGTGCAGTTCGCATCGAACACTAACCCGCGTTACCTGTATACGCCCGCGTCAAGGCGCCACATGTCACGTGCAGCCGGCAATAAACTTATCCACAAAACCGAGACGGCTCGGGCCAAAAATCTGCCCGCACACCCACTTAGATCGCTGGCCTTCTCGTCCAGCAATCCTATATACGCAAGCATAGGTGTGCGTACATGCTACAGTTATGTCGGGCTGGATATGACCGGCTTTTGCCCCCAGGACACCTACATTACCTACCGCTCTGCTGCCCCTCTTCTCAGACCTACTTCTACTGTTGAAGACCACGATTTCATGATAAAACCAGAAGTATACTAGATTATGTACAAAATACCTTATTTACAATTCGACTCGTGCTAAATAAAAACAGCTATCTGAAATATGTCGTTTTCTCTGAAACCACCCACCTTACCAGTGCGTAACTATCCCTTTTTACATGTCGGCAGGCACGCCTTAGTATATAGCCCATAGCCTCCAATAAATGCATCACAAAACCAACGTTTGTTAGGCATCAGTGAGGTAGGTTCAAAGTAAACTGCCAGCTAACGCCCGAGGCAAACTCTGCCGTCGGTGCGAGACGCATTCTGGAGCTGATGTAGTGACGTCATTCCCTCTCTTATCTCCTCAGTCGGCTTCCGTCCACAGGGCCGGCTGCCATTTTGCTCATTCGCTCCCCGCCTTGCGTCCCGTTTCGTGTTCGCGTCAGTCCGCGCGAGTTTGCAGCCGAGTCCGCACTGCCGGCCTTCAGTGCAGCGCCGACCGGCCGACAGCATCGATTTCGCAAACGTCGCCCGCCCGGGCGCGCCGCGCTGCCCGGAGCTCACGCACAGCCGCGCCCGCTTGCGCTGAATGCGCGCACGCACATCCGATTGATTGAACTCCCCACCCCGTCGCCATGGAAACTGTTATTATTCAAAATTTAGGGTAAACTGAGTCGTGTCACAAACGGCGCAGCGTTAATCAGCTGGCCTGGGGGAAGGGCCGACGACCCCGACGCAGACGACAGGGAGCGTCGGCGAGTGGCCCGCCGCCCCAGGGGTGGGGCCGAGCAAGGAGTGACGCGCTGCGAACTGCCGACCGAGCACACGCTGCCTCATGAACGGCTGGAAAGAGCGAGCCGACCGGCCGTCTGCGCCCGAACAAACGTGGACAGATGTCTACTCGAGTGCAGGTGCAAGAGATGCAAAGATGTTCATGTGTGAAACCAGGTATGAACTAACATCTCATATACCAGCCGAATTGAGTTATTGGTTATTCTGGAGTTCATTTACGCCACAAAACAGACGTCAGTATGCACCAAAAGTACCAACAGGGCATAAAGTAAACAAATGGGATGCAACCAAAAATTGCTTTGGTGAATCCGTGGTAACATTTAATAGGACCAAAAAGATGGAGCCTTTGAAGTCAGCGGGAGCGGGGGGATACCAGGCATATTAGATTCCACACGACTGCAACGCCCACAGTCCAAGTGCCAAAGATTGGTAACACGGGGTTGACCACTCGTTCGCACCGCTGAGGACACATGCGGATGGAAGTCCGACTGAGGCGGTACATCTGTAAAACAAACCTGAAGTACCTGCGGTGTCGTATATACTCAAACATACTGCAAGTTTGACCCACACTGAGGTACCCAAAACCGCACGCGGCCTTGGCAAGTGAATCGACGCACAAGCAACGCACGCATCCTTTTGAGAATTGCTGCAGAGCGTCACGGTTTGACAAGGAAGAAAAAACAATAAGGCCGCCGGAGACGGAGAAAAGCAGGTATCGAACAGCGTCACTGCGAGGCTTCGACTTCTGACTAAGGCGTTGTATTTCACCCAGCGTAGTGTGCACTTGCCACAGAAGGCCACGCCATGGTCTCGGATGTTATGATAAATTGAGTCAAAATTTCAACCTTGTTCAGATCACTTGGATGTCAGGGTCAGCCATAAGCAACAAGCTTTACGTACCTAGGACTCCTATCTCAAAACTACTCATTCAAACAATTTACGAAAGTTATTTGCAATGAAGATCACCAGTCGCCCTCCATCGTTATATTATAAATATTTCTGCCTGGCCAAGGTCAGCCAATGACTCCGCCAGAAGCCGAACAATTTAGGCCGTGTTTATCGCAAAGGCAGTTAATTTTTCATTACCGAGAACGGTCGCAGGGGGCGCGTGTGCGCCAGTCCTGCATACGGCACATGAAAAGGTGGGGTGCCTTTGACGCGTTCAAACGACACACGTGGCAGACGCGTCAGCAAAGGTTCTGTCGGCGTAATGAATGTTGTCGCGTCGAATTTAATGTGCTGTGTGCTCATTTCCATACGAAACCATTGGCGCATTTTTAGGGGAAAACTGGAATTTTGAAGGGGAGCACAAAGGTGCAGGCGAAATAAATCAAGCGGGGCGCATATGCAAATTACGCTAATTGTGTCGCTCCGTTCGCTCCGGTTTGTGCAGCTGCGCACTGCTAAAACTTCACAAACACATGGCTCAAATCATGGCGCCGAATGCGAGGGCGGAAATGACAAAGAGAGTAATGCGGCGGGGAAACCCAGGGAAAGAGGGTGGGGGAGTGAAACACGGAACGCGCGGAAAAATAGGATCCGCTCACTTTTGCTGCGCACGACAGCGCCCACGCCATGCAAAAGTCCCGAATTTGGAAAAAGTCATAGAACTAAGATAAAAAGTCCAGATGGGCGTGTTGACTCTTGCATGGTCCTTTGAAGATTCAGACAAACCTTTGGTGGTGCGTCAGCTATCACCGGCAAACTTAAAGCTCCAATGCATTAGCCTCGGCATTGATCACACACGCACACATAAACGCGTGCATGCATACATACGTTATATATATATATATATATATATATATATATATATATATATATATTCATGAGCCGCGCGGCAACTTCAAGACCAATAAGCACCAAAGTGAATCAACTCCACTACCCGCATATTAGAAGAGTGCAGCAGGTTTTCATCTAACGTGTCAGTTGAAAGCAGCAACTGCAGCTGGTTTGATAAAGGCCTTATTATTGCCTGCGACATCGCGATCACGTTTTAGTTACGAATCGGTCGAAGTGAAACCGAAATAAATCTCCTCCATACTGATTCTGTCTGGCATCCCTGCCATCAATGGCCCTTTCAAGTCACTCTGAAAACCGCCAGTCCGAACACCATGCCGGAAAATTGCCGCCTATGGAACACATATCGTTAACGAGACAGCTCTCGCGTGGCAGCTGGCGTGTGATGACAGCAGCCGCCTGTCACGCAGCCTTATCATGCACCGCGGGGCATGTGCTGCTGAACCAGTCCTGGCAAACGCAGCAGCGCCGCACATACGACGGCGGCGCGCCGGCCCCGATCTCTGCGTGATGGACTGGCTCGCGGTCACACTCTGTAAACAGCTCCGGCTCGCGGTCACACTCTGTTAACAGCTCCGGCTCGCGGTCACTCTGTTAACAGCTCCGACTCGCGGCCACACTCTGTAAACAGCTCCGGCTCGCGGTCACACACTGTAAACAGCTCTGGTTCGCGGTCACACTCTGTTAACAGCTCCGGCTCGCGGCCACACTCTGTTAACAGCTCCGACTCGCGGCCACACTCTGTTAACAGATCCGGCTCGCGGTCACACACTGTAAACAGCTCTGGTTCGCGGTCACACTCTGTAAACAGCTCCGGTTCGCGGTCACACTCTGTTAACAGCTCCGTTTCGCGGTCACACTCTGTTAACAGCTCCGGCTCGCGGCCACACTCCGTTAACAGCTCCGGCTCGCGATTACATTCTGTAAACAGCTCCGGTTTGCGGTCACACTCTGCAAACAGCTCCGGCTCACGGTCACACTCTAAACAGCTCCAGCTCGTGGTCACACGCAGGAAACAGCTCCGGATCGGAAAAACGCTGGAAACAGACACGGCTCCGAACCACGGCAGAAACCGCTCCTGCTGGTAAATACGATGGCACACTTCCGGCGCGATACCACACGTAGGGAGCCGCTCCTGCCGGGTCACATGCTGGAAACGGCTTCGGTTTGGCATCAGTATGGAAACAGCTGTAGGCTGGTCACAAACGCTACAAACAGCTCCAGCACGGTTAGGCACTGCCGCGACAGTGGTGCCACTTTGAGGAAACTGGACACTTCAGGCATGACGATGTTTGTCACTAAATAAATGACTATTTCACTTGCACCCCCAGTCCCAACTCCGCAGTTTCGGCATCCATGCTAAACTTAGCTAAAAAAAAGATATTGGTAATTGACGAAAAAATTACACCTGCTTCCTGACAGTGCTTAAAATAGCACTTACGATGGTAGTGCGTCATTCTGGTGTCATGCAGTAAAGCCATATTAGAAGACACAGTCACCTGTTTTGGTATCACTGCCCCTCAACACGGCCTGAGGATGACAGTGGGACGTGCCACCACGAACAGGTAACACTCTAGGCGACAGCAAAGCGAGATTACCCAGCCTTTTGGCCAAATTTAGCGCTGATGCTGATTCGTGGAGGGCTGTGACTCTAAGGTGCAGCGGATCGTGACGATATGTGGCGCGATCGCGACGATGTATGACGAGCGTTGCCTGTTTGAGCCCAGTCATGCAGTCGTCAAAACACGTCTAATAATAGTGGGCACTAACTTGTAACAATCACACTTTCATAATCGTGAAAAAAGATCCTGCCAAAGTGTTGTGCTTCATATATATATATATATATATATATATATATATATATATATATATATATACATCGATTTCAAATATCTACCAAAGATTTAAGGCCCGCAAGCCATTTCACTGTAACCACAGCAGTAAGCAAAATATAGCCGGTCCCACGAACTGCCTATTGATTAATCGATTGTGCGGCCATTTTGTTTACCTAGTTCTTGATTTGTAGATTGTGAATGTGATACGCGATGTACATAGCAGTCGTTAGTCAACATCACACACCTGCCACCCGGACGCTTGGCTGTTACGAACTTTCATTCAGGCCTTTCTGGCAATGCAGTCACAAGAGCGCATGCGGTATTCCATATCTAATGCATTTTGATCACTTTTCGAGGCGTGACTTTCTAGGTCGGGGTAGTGTCGTTCCTAACAGCGTCCGCTGCACTGTGCGCAGTAGGAGTCCATATGAACCGGACATGGTAAATCCCACCAGGCAGCGGCGCATCATGCCATGGTTGGCAGTTCAGCGAATTTATCCCGTAGGCAGAGCAGCCATCAAAACCGGACAGCAAGAAATAAAATGAGCTCGAGCTGTGGTACAGTGTGCGCTGGACTCGAGTTCTGGTGCTTCCCAGCAAAAAAACCCGCACTACGGGGCTCAGGTGACGATTACCTTCGGCGAAAACTCTGGTGGAGTGGTACGTCGACCATTGCCGCTGAATGCTTTTGGCATACACCTGATTCGCAGTCCTGCGCTTCGCTGCACTTGAATAGCCCCTGACAAGTACATGATTCTTAAGGCCTACAGTCCATATCCGACAGGGTTTACGAAAAAAAGAAGTTCGTGTGAAATGGGGTGAGCCAGTTTAAAGTGCGTGTGAATAATGCATGTTCATATCGTAGCCGGCGGTTCATGTTGCTTGGACTGGCTGTAAAATGTTTTCGTGAGCACAGCGTAGAAGGTATGAGTTCAAAAACTTTGACTTCCACATCATATTTGACAAGATGTGGCCGGTTTCCGTCCTTCGACGACATATACTGATATGAAGATATGAAGAGTTTCTTCATACTGATATGAAGAAACGCTCATCAAGGAGTAGTCTATGGCCTCCACCGTTTGACAGCACATGCGGCTCTTTTGAGGTAGTTTTCATCGCGATTTTGAGAGACATTCTTGATAAAATAGAAAATGTTAGAACAACAACTTATCAAGGGCTAAAAAGCTATTCACTTAGCGATATACCTGGCCTGAATTGCCTGAACGTGCTGTCGCTGACATATCACTTTGTCGCCCCCCCCCCCTCCCCAGATGGGAGCACACCTGCGGGTCCGGACAGCGTCGCTTTCCTTCATTATTCAGGCCCAGCCGTCGGGCGCGGCGCGGCGCGGCGCCAGTTTAACTACGGGCCAGTTCTCACCCCACCCCGCGGGTGGAGCTGGTCGATAGCCGCCCACCGGTTCCAAATTCGGCCAGCCGCGGCCCGACCGGCCGGGCGGCGGCGCCGACCGTCGCGCGCCGGCGCCACCTCCCGATCAATACGCGCTCAAATTCGCCATCTTTCGGGCGGCAGTTCACAGCGATCGCTCCTTCACCGGAGGCGGTGGGTGCCTGCGCGTCGTCGGCGGCGCGTCGCGGCCAGCGCCGGCGCGCGCCGCCCGCCGGCCGGCCCCAGGCGCCTGCCGCTCCCATGTTTTCAGCCATCGACCCGACGGCTTTGGTTATTGGCTTCAAGAGGAATGAAAACGCGCCGGCCGGCCGGCCGGCCGGGCGGCCGGCCGGGCGGCCCCACCACGTCATTGATCAGACCGGCGCGGCCCACCGACTCGGCCCAGCGCTCGCGCCGCTCACCCACACGCCGCTATTGATTTTTTAGCCGGCAAACGGTCTTCACTCGGCGCGGGAGCACGAAAAACCGGCCGGCCGGCGGCCGGCCGCCGACGGCCGAAACGAAGACCAAGGCGGCGCGGGCGCCGGCGCCGGCGTCGGCGTCGGCCGCCATTGCTCGGCGAATGGGACGGGCGAGATTGGCCGGCGCGACGGCGCGCCTCGTCGGCTCAAACCGGAGCCGGAGGCGCGGCCTGTGGAGCGCGACCGTGTGGCAGGCGCCGCTGCGGCCTGTGAAGCGAGACCGCGAGCGGCGCCGCTGCGGCCTGTGGAGCGAGACCGCGGACGGCGCCGCAGCGGCCTATGGAGCGCAACCGCGGCCGGCGCCGCTGCGGCCTGTGGAGCGAGACCGCGAGCGGCGCCGCTGCGGCCTGTGGAGCGCGACCGCGGCCGGCGCCGATGCGGCCATCACCCGCTAACAGTGGAAATCAAATGAGACGAGGGACTGGGCGCGAGCTTTCTTCTGGACAGGGGAGATGGCAGTTCAATTCATTTGGCTTGTCTGGAAGATGCTGACACTGCTGCTGCTTGGTGACACAACCCCACACGCGGTCAGACTTCAGCAATTCTGAATTACGCGCAAAGCGGTTCTGGAGTGCAAAATATACTGACGGCCGCACTCACTGCTTTCTGAAATAAAAACGCAAATGGCTTCCATTCAACCGTTGAAACCAATAAATCAAAATGTTTCCATTTCCGACAGGGGAAAGGGACTGCAATCTTGAATCGTAAGACTAGACGAACTGCAATACAACTTAATGCTCTTGCTAACTTATAATTCACATTGGGAATGACAATGATTGGACACGTGACCCAAAGTGCTCAGCTGTAACTTCTTCAGCCCCACGCGACAGCGTGCTATCGCCTCGCCCGAGTGTAGAATTCCAGCCAAGTGCGCTTTATTACCGCCGCGCTCAGGTGTACCTTTAGTCTGCAATGTAGAATTGTAACCATCATCAGCTCCAAATGCATCTCGCACCGACCGACTTCATATAGATCGCCACAGACCAGACGGCAGTTTTTGAGGTAGCCTGCGAAAGAATAAGCTCACGGATCTCAGTGAAGAGACCCAGCTTATATAGATTCTGTCCTACACTAAATATCATGCTAGAATGCCCCAAGATCACAGGTCATTCCCGTAAACATACCAACCCGTAGTTGTCTAGAAAGAAGGCAATTTTTACCCTTGTACCGAAATCCCGAGTCGTCCCACTCGCTGAAATTGAATTAGGAATGTATAGTGCTATGCGGGGCGCATCCTTCAAGAAACGGGAGCTAACAGGGCCACCGAGCCTGAAAGCAAAGGATCTCATTCGATCAGACTATCGCCCTTCAGACTTGGACGTGGGCCCGTGCGCCGCCCTCATGGGGCGCCCTACTTTACCGTGGGTCTACTACCGCTAGCCGAACGCGTGGCAGTTACACGCGCGTTGATTGGTCGTGGAGGTAGATTGTTGTACGTGGCCTCTGCAGTCGACTGAAGTGGCCCTTTGGCTCAAATTAAGCCCCCCCCCCCCCCCCCCGCTATGCAGTACTCTACGGATATATGTACAAGTCATCGTATGTACAGAAAAAACTACCTGCTTTATGCAGCCATCGATCGATGAACGCGCACTAAAATAGCTGAAATGAACCCCTGAGATCGTTGAATATACCTAAGGAGCATCATCACATCACTCACCCGTACTCTCGATTCCCTCGCATTGTCTCTCTGCCGCCACCATCGTCAGCTGGCGGTCGCCTACGCCGGCAGTAGCGTCAGGCGCAGTTCGGTCTTTTCCCGAAGCTCCCTGAAGACGGGCAGCACCACGAAGGCGGGCGCGATCGGCGGCTGCTGCCCCTCCGCCGGCGACGACTGCATCAGGAACGACTGCATCGTGTAGCGGTCGCTGCCGCCGTCGCCGACCGGCAGCGGCAGCGCGTACAGGTAGGGCAGCGCGGCGCCGTCCGGGCCGCGCCGGTGGTGACGGCGGACGTGCCGCCGTACCAGACTGCGCATGCGCGAGCTGAAGCCGCAACGCGTGCAACGATAGTTGCGGTTGAGGTAGCCGCGCAGCAGGCTAGCCGCGTACGGCAGGCGGCTGTGACCGTGCTTCTGGTGCCAGTGGCTCAGGTAGCGGTGACGCTGCGGGAAACTCAGGCGACATGGCTTGCAGCGGTACCGCCGGCCGCCGGCGGCAGCCGAGGCGTGTTTCGCGGCAAGCGCCGGCGGCTGGCTGGTGGCCGTGGCGGCGGCAGCGGCGGCAGCGGCAGCGGCAGCGGCGGCGGCAGCACCGGGTGGTGGAGGCGGCGGCTCAGCGGCGGCCCCTCCCGCCAGCGGACCCACCAGGCCAGCCAGCTGGCGCGACAGCAGACTGGGCGGCAGGTCGAGCGGCGGCGCCGCGAAGGGCGAGCGCGCCGGCTCCAGCAGCGGCCCGGCCAGCTGCGGCAGAAGGCTCATGACGCGCTCCGGCGGCAGGAACGGCGGGAACGGGCCGGCGAACGGGCCGAACGGGTGCCGCAGCAGCTTCTCGCCCAGCTGGGCCGGTTCCAGTGGCGTCTCTTCGCCCGCCGTGCCGTTGTTCTCGCCCTTCTGCTCCGGCAGCGGGTGGGCCTGCATCGCGTGCAGTCGCAGCGACAGCAGGTCAGGGAAGCAGCGGCCGCACAGGCTGCAGGTTACGCCGATGCCGGGTGCGCTCCGCGGCACCGAGCTGGACTTGGGCTTCTTCTCCTTCGGTGCGCCGTGTTCACTTGCCATGTGCGACTCCAGGAGCTTGGCCGTTTTGAACTTGCCGCTGCAGACAGTGCACACCTCCAGGCCTTCCTCGTCTTTGATGACGGCATCGCTTGCCTTCAGCGCCTTGTCGTCTTCCGGATCGTAGATACCATGTGTGTTTTGCTTATGGACCTTTAAAAAGTACTTACTGCAGAGCTCCTTCTGACAGACATCACACTTGACGCCACCTTGAATCTGGTGGTTCTCCATATTGATTCCATGCATCTTGATCATGTGGGTCTTCATAAAATACTTGTTGCAGAGTTCTTTGTTGCAGATCTCGCAGTAGCTACGGCTGGTGCTGGCTGGCTTTGGTCGCTCCAACTTCTTCTGGCCCTCCACCTCCAGTCGAATCCTCGCGAGAAATGCGGTCTCGTTCATTGGCGACGCTTGGATTCCGTGGGCCGCTTGCATGTGCTGCTGGAGGAAGAATTTAGCATAGAAGTCCTTCTTGCAAACGCTGCAAACCGTCTCTGAGCCTTGGGGTGGGGGGCTCGAGGCTTCTCTGGAGTCCTTGTTGCTCTGAGGTTTGGAAGATGATAATGAGGTCGGCGGCTTTGGAATGATCAACTCTTCTTGGTTGTGGAACACGCCATGCTCATTCATCAAATGGGTTTGCAGGGCCTGCCTGTCGACGTTCTTGCCACACACGTGACACGCAACCGCCGCGTGTCCGCCTTTCTTGTCGTTTAGGCCTTTGATCATGCCCTGCAGCTTCTGCAGATCGTCACTGAAGTGCGCCTTCTTTTTATGGTCGGCGGACGGGGAATTCTTAGCCGGCGCGTTCCCAGGGAGCGTAGGTGGCATCGAGCCGTGGCTGTTCGGGTGTCCCGAACCGTGAAAGTAGTACCGATGCATCTGCACTAGGTAGCTGCTCTGGAAGGTTCTCTGGCAGAGGTCGCACTCCTTCGGCTCGGAGTTCTCCTTCAGAGGCGCGTCCAGCAGCTTCTCCAGGGGCGGACAAGCCATGGAATCGTGCCCGCCGGACGCGCCGTTGTGCCTGTCCATCTCCGGAGGAGGCGACCCGATGGCGTGCTTCCTGTACTTGTGCACCTTCAGGAAATATTTGTTGCAAAACTCCTTCCAGCAAACGTTGCAGAACGCGTCAACATTGACGACACCAATCTCGCGGAGTTGTTCCTTGGTGAAATTCTTCGGCGACTCGCCGTTCGTCGCCAGCCTTTCCATGAGCTCATGGATCACCTTCTGGTGGTCGTGGGTTTCGCCTGTGTTCAGCTGCTGCAGCAGCGTCGGCGACACCACCGGCTCCAACAACTGCTGCGCGTCGTACGGGTCGGCGGCACCCTGGCCGGCGGCGCCTGCCTCTGGCGGAGCCCCGGGCGGCGGCCGCGGCGGTGGCGGTGGTGGCTCGCGCCCCTCCACGGAGTGCACGCGCTGCTTATGTCGACGCAGGTAGTAAGCGTCGCAGAACTCCTTCTGACAGAGCTCGCAGAAGGCGTCCGGGTGGGCTGCGCCGGCCGGCCGCACAGCCTCCGCCTCGCTCGAGGGCCTACCCGAGTCTCGAGAATCCGCGCTTGGTGAGTGGTGAGCGCCGGGGGGCGGCGGCAGCGGCGGCGGCGGCGGCGGCGGTCCGCCCACCCCCGCCGGTGCCGGGCCGCCTCCACCGGCGCCGCCGCTCGCCGGCTCCGAATACACACCGTGCTTGTTGGCCTTGTGCGTCTTCAGGAAGTACTTGTTGCAGAACTCCTTGTTGCACAGCTCGCAGTACGCCTCAGGGTTAAAGATCTTCAGCGGCGACTCGCCCGGAGTCGGAGTCGGCGGCGCGGCGCCCGCCTGCTGCGAGAGGAACGACAGCAGGAAAGGCGGCGGCCCGTACTGCAGGAACTCGGGAGCGGGGAACTTGTCCTGAAACGATGGAGGCAGTGGCATGGCCGGCGGCAGGCTGTGCTCTGACCTGTAATTCTCCGCCTGGTGCTTGCTCTCCTGACCCCGCAGCCCGTCATGTCTCGGACCGGAGGACAGGTTCAGAGGCAGCTCCCGACCGAAGATCACGCTCTCTGCGGGCGCGTCGTCCGCCAGCGCCCTCCTCACGTGCTCCACCTCGATGTGATACTTGAACTGGACCTGGTGCGGGAACGCCTGCGGGCAGTAGGGGCAGCGGAGGGGCGGCGGCAGCTCTGCCTCGCCCGGCGGCGGCACCTCCGGCTCTGCCTCGCCGCCCGGCCCGATCTTCACCGGGTGCGACTGCTTGCGGCGCTTCTTGGCGCCGCTCAAGAGCGTCTCGCAAGACAGACGCTTCTCGGAGCCGCTGCCGTCCAGATAGCCATCCTCTGAGCGGCTGGCCGAGCTGTCCGGGTAGCCGCGGCTCGCCTGGTCGCCCTCCTCGTCGTCATCGGGCGGCGGCGGCGAGCCAGGCCCGGCCGACATCAGCCCGCCCAGCACCGCCAGCGAAGCCATACTGGGGGCCGACTGGAACGCACGAGGCCGCGGATCAGCAGGGGCAGCTCGGTACTGTGGGCTCGGCCCGACGCCCAGGAACCAACGCAATGTTTCACCTTGCTGTGCGGTACGACAGTGCTCAAATAACTTATTGGGATTTCGGAGGACCGCAATAGTTAGTTTTATAAAAGAGATAAAGAAGATGCCAGAAAGTCGCAAGATCCTCAGCAGCGATGGTTTATGTCATGCGCACTACATGACCTATGTAGGGAATCATTTCCACTTTCTCGCTTTTCAATTATCAACTTGGTGTTGTTAAAGAATTCGCTTTCAGTGAAAGGGATTTACATCCTAAATGTCAGTTTTTAAGATTTCGCTCCTACGCTCCGAAGTCCGCGCGTAAAGCTTTGTTGACGTCACCATGGTTTCATTCACATGTCATTTTGAAGTATGGCATAAAATGTTTTTACGCGTCTAGGATAACCCGCATTGGTTCTTAGGTTATCGGAGCTGTATAATTGTTTAATGCCTCACTGTGTGTGACTGTTGGTCACTGTTGCACACTGGTCGAGACGAATTTTGAGACAAATGGCCATATTCGAGATGCAAATGTACAATATAACTTAGCCAAATTCCATGACAACACGCAGCGATAGTTTGCGGCAAATTGCGCACGGTTGAGCACCAAGTCAGTATTTGGCGATACCAGTTCAAAACCATAAGCAAAAGTGGAGCATTCCTCCAAGCAGAGTTCAAACAGCTACACTGGCCTGTGGAAACTTTTTGCGTTAGGTTCAACGCTGTGAGGCACATCAACTGCTGGAGGCCTTCTCACTTGAGGAGGCAAAATTGTCACACACACACAGCCTAACAGCCTGACCGGTGCACGAGCGGCAGCTGAACACCAGCTGAGAGCCTGCACCGTCAGGCCTGCACCTCCTGTCGGATGACACCCACCCCACACACTGAGCGCACATCCCACACTTTAGGCTAGTCGACAGTGGCCATATGTGCCGAGCGGTGACGAGTCACTTCAACTTCGCAAAGCCACTTGCACCTGTGGAACGGCGCTGGTGAAAAGAATTTCTTCACAACGACACATGTGCACAGTGGCCGCTTATCAAAAGTTGAATAGATTTCGGACTCATCACACCTGTGCGGGGATGGTTGACATGTCAAACGAACAGGAACCTCGATGCTCTATTGTTGCAGGTGTTTGGAGCGCGCGGTTGCAGTGATGCATTCTCAGCATTGTTACCAACGCACAACTGATGACATTTGGACACCAACGGATTTTCGTCCTCACTAACTTTATGGCGCGCATGCGTGGTAGCTCTCGGCTAGCCTCGATGACTTCACTACCTTCACCGTAAAAAGTTCCCTCTTGGCAATGAACAGGATGAAAGCCTCGAACATCTTTTAGAACTGTTATCTGGGCATTTCAGTTATCCCTGATCGTGAGCCCACCAGGCTGGGATATCTGAGGTCAAATCGTATTTTGCTCTCATCTCTACACAGTATTTCCTATGTCCGCACAGCGTAGGTGGTTCAGGTCAGGACAGCTACCACGTCGCACGCTCACTCCACTCCATAAGGTGAAGGTTTTGAGGAGCACCAGACAGGAAGATGTATCACGTAGAAGACTGTCCGGCACAGACGGCTTTTTCATATAAGCAATGCACTGAAGACACTCAAAGCCCCGGTCAATCATGGAAGATCGACGCTGGCAGCTATTGCGTTTATGCCACAGAATAGTTCGCGACTCGTTTCCCTGAACGTGATGAAGCGCGCTCGCTACAAGATTGCGAAGGTCAGGCATGCACGCAGGCTCTCCAAACGCGTTGGTTGGTCCGCTGCCGCTGCGCATATTGCATATGGAGTCTTTTCATTCAGCTGGTTCGGAGAAACAGCCCCAATGGGCTGACGACATCTGCAGCCAGTGGTAGAGTTGAGCGTTGGGCCGTTCTCCCCTAATAAGAGGAGCACTAAGCGACCATTGCACAATAAGCGGTTCAGTAGTTACAATAGTCCGAACAGCATAGCTCATCTGGTAATTCGCAAGATAGTTACTTGAGCTTAAAGGTAGATCAACGGCTATCGCCATCGATCACTGATCACTGTATGCAGTGAGTTCGCATCACGGTCAGATTTGTACTCGATTAAGCTCTACATGAAAGATGTGTTTCCTGACTCAACATATTTGCTGTACGAATCAAGATGGGAATCCCACCTACTTTTCAACTCATGACTTAAATCAATTGTTGTTTTAAGCAAACTGGCATGACGATTCTGACTCTGATCTTCATTTAAGCATGAATTCATGGCCAGGATCGTGAATCGATTCAAATTATTCGAATCAAAGCTGATATTTCTAACGCAAGAACGTATAACAACGACATCAGGATTTCAGATATTGGTGACATCCAATGTCTCAGCTGTCATCAATTTTAGAACATCTCAATACGGTGCATTTAGCAAACGCTCTTAAGTATCTGCCGAATGGCCAGAAGACCCGTTGAGCTGTCCAGAACAGTCTAACTAATTAGACGGAGTGCGCTGCAATGGTCGCCCAGTGCTCCGCGTCTTGTTGGGGTAGAACGGCGCGACGTTCGGCTGTTGGGGTAGAACGGCGCGACGTTCGGCTGTTGGGGTAGAACGGCGCGACGTTCGGCTCTACCACTGGCTATCACTGACTACCACTCTACCACTAACTGGCTGTAGTGGCCAGAGTAGCGCTCATCGGCCATGGCACGGCCGGGGTTTGAACCCGGACCCACCACGTGGGAACAGAAGGCGCTAACCGCTCGGTCGTTATGCTCGTTTCACCCGCCTCCGTGCGAGACGGGTTCTCGTCGTTGGAGTAAATAAGGCGGTCGCTGTAATTAGAATATGAATGTGCGGGTACACCGATATCTAGATGCATATGTTTCGCTGCCGATTTGCAATTCAACCGGAAAAACTATCGGCTTTCAGAAATATTGCCGATGGTTTTTTAAATAAATAAATAAATAAATATATATATATATATATACTAAAATATACTAATGCTCTGTCTCCAGCCATAATGCTATGTACCAAGCCCGGTTATATTAAATGTAGGCACGCAGGTGAGATTGGCAACGTGTGACGTATACCACTAAACCACTCAGGGTAGCTGTTTATAAAAGTTGCTTTCAGCTGTAATTAGAGAATACACTTAAAATCAAACGGTTCTTAATTCTGCAGCTTTTTTCTGCTTCCTACACCACGTCATCGATGTTCCATGCATTCGTCCGGGAGAAATGAGCTTGGCCCCCCCCCCCCCCCCCCCCCCTAGTGGGAAACGTTATGGAGATGCTTTAGATATTGGGTGATTTTTAGTGGTCTTCTTCTCCATTCATGGCATATCATGACAACCAATTTTTCATTTCACGTGATCATTTCACCACATATGCAAACATTTCAGTGTTTGATTACACAAATGCCGTCATTAATATCATGGAAAATGAGATGAAACGCTCTGGAAGTCTAGTTGGTTCCATGGCTATATGAGCAATAAGTTCCTTCCTCGCATAAGCCCGCTATATTGTTTTGAACTTGACACTCCGAAAGTGCCCAAAATCTCACCACCATGTGGAGCGCGTCCCTTGGTATCGCATCTTTCCTAACTTCACAACTTTGTCCGAACGAGTGCAATGTAAAGGGACAATTCCTTATAAATAAAAGCATGCTATTAATCAGGAAAGTGAGCTAATTTCTCGACAATAGCCAATAAACAACTTTTTGATCGGTCCCTTAAAATCTTCGGGCATAATCAACACACACCATCATAAGCTGCTGTGATCGGTCATTGCTGCGACAAGGAGGGAACTGTTCTGTCGCAGCGAAATGACCACTTCGGATACTTGTGACGCCCAACTTGGAAGCGAGGTCAGCTCAGACCATAAGCTCTCTGAGAGACCGGGTGCAATGACCTCGGAGTGGATTTGCCATCATAACGCCATCAAGAAGTGAATTTGCCATCATAACGCCCTCAAGAAGCGCCGTGTACGCAAATCCTCTGAGACGATCCCTCGCTGTTGCTGCCAACCTCTCCATACATTTGGTGTCTACCCGGTGTGAACAGCTGAACAGCGCAGCATGCACGGCCCGTCCCGTGCCAGCCCCTGGGGTTCGCTCCGTCCGACGGCAGCTGTGAAATTACCCATCTCTATTAATTCATCGGGGCGGTACGCCAGCTGGGCCATCTTCACCTACACGCTGTGTGCCGTCGAATAACGCCTGAGGGGGCAGCCGGAGCATACACAGGTACGGTGTCGTGCAGACCCGGACTGCGACGATGATGGCACTGATGGATACCTATTTTTAAGTTGCAGATAAATCGGGCAATTACTGTATCTATCTATATATATATATATATATATATATATATATATATATATATATATATGTATATATATAAACTGTGAGGAAGAACATCAACCAACGTTCAGAACACTGTCCCACTGATAAGAGAGCCAGGTCCGCCAGTTTCACCCCACTGGTCTGGTTTGACTCGCTGAAAGCCGCTGGTGCTGATCGTCAGTGACGTTCATTCCGGCGCAGTTTCAGGGCGAGCAATCCGACGTCACTTCTCTCTTGGCTCCAGCATGTCCAGCATGTTGAAAGCTGGCAGCCCTGTCCGGTGAAGGCGAGAAGAACGCCAGTCCGGAGAGCGCGAAAGGCTTGGTATGTATATGTGCATCATAGCTGTACAACAACGTTTAATAAGCCATCGAAATGAGCACCGTCCCAAATCTAGATCTCTGCCATATAGGCAAGGTGCAGAAATGCTACTCATAATGTAGCACATAATGGATAAGGATGTAGCACATAAATCGATAGGCTATATGCAATGGTTGCGCCAAAAACCGCGGGGAGGGCGTCGGGAAATCCCGGACCCAGTGGTCACTGAAGCCTTCTGTGCAGACCCGACGCGTGGCGCCGGGTCCCGCCGCTGAAGTCACCATCCCGCCGCAGCCATTCCAAGCGAGTAGCAGCCATACCCAGCC